ACGGAGAAGTCTAAGCAATCATTTGACGACGAACAGGACCAGAAGCCCTCGAGCATCGATCTCCCTCGCGCGGAATCACCTCCACCATTGGGTTACGACCGTAAGAGAGAAACCAACTCGACTACATCATCGACACCATCACTAGGCCGCAATTCCACGGCCGCCACTTCAGTCATGTCCCAGCCAACATCGGCAGCAAAAGATTGGCAGTCGAACCCGACGGCACCAAGCTCGGCAACAGGCACACCTAATCTTGACCGGAGCGTTACCCGCGCACGACGTCTCTACGAGACAGGACTCAACCATGATCTCCAAGAGCAACAATCTTCGGCTCTATCCCGAATGGACACCCTTTCTCGGCAGCGAACACTCGGCAGCAGGACCCCCGACCTCCAAAACGGACCTTCACCCACAAGCAGCCTTTTCAGCGATCGTTTTGGTAATGAGAGGAGGATCTTGGCCAAGGGAAGCGCTCCGAACCTGCGATCCGCCAGCCCGCCGACCATGGGATCACCTATCGTCCCCATGGACTTGGGCATCAACGTGCCCACAAACTCCGAAGCCAAATCTTCGTTTGGAGGTGCACCTCCTCTGAGCCCGCCCATCAGTGAAGGGGAAGAGAGCTCTGTCCTCCCCAGTGACCGGGGCAAAGCCACTGCCATGGGGCTGTTCCAAAAGCCGCTTCACTCCTACGACGAGTCTAGATATGCTCAGAGACAGCTCCAACTCCAGCAAGGCCGAGAGACGCCGACCAACAGGTTCCGCACAGAGTCTAATGCATCACAAACTACCGGCCGATCCCGTTCATCCTCGTCGGCTCACAGGCTGCCGGTCGAGAAACCCGAACCGATAATCCGTACAGAGCCGACAGTGAAGGAAGAGGAAGCTGGACTGAGCTTCTATGACGATTCGCTCTCTCCCCAAGACGACGCGACGAACCCAGCTTCTGCGTTCCACGGTGCTACAAGGCGCCCTGCTGATCGCGACCATCCCGCACTGAGGGACTTTGCCGTGCCAACACCCCTCTCGTTGAGCACCGGCGCGTCGGTGGAGCCATCCCCCGTGTCCGATCAACCTTTCACTGTCGTGTCCGCTGAGATGACAGGCTCGCCCCAAGACTCTCCGACCCTTCCCTCGTCCGCCGGCCTCAGCGGAATGGTCCGGCAGCATCTGCGTACCGACAGTGCTACTTCATCCATCTATGGCTCAGCGCCGCAGACGTCCAACTTTGCTTCTAGGTTCCCTCTTGACCCATATGATCCCAAATCAATGGCCGATATGGGAGTGATGGCCAACCCCTGGGAAGTCCAGTCCCCAGACTGGAGAGACTCGACGTTCAACGAGAAGGAGCAGACGTCTAGCAATCAGAAGGAACCGGCAGTTCCTGAGCCTACTTCGCAACCTCGTCAAACGCTGCCGTCAGAGAACCAGCCTGCCTCTGAGCGCAACACAGGGTCAAGCACCGAGATGGAAAAGGAACACGACGAGTTTGCCAACCAACTCGCTGACCGCGCGCGCCGGGTTCGTGAGAGACTGACTTCCTATGTGGAGTCAGATCGCGATAGCAGGTCACTCTCACCTCACCCCATCGATCGTACAAGAGAGCCATCTTTGCCCCGTCCGAACCCATTGGGCATCTTGAGACAGAAGACGAGCCGTGGTTCTTTGATTGATCGCAATCGCGAGAACCGCGTCGATAGCCAGCACTCAAAAGCGATCAAGATGCTTGGCCTTGCCACTTCAACCATCAGCAGCTCTCCAAGCCCCAATAAGTCAAGCTTCGAGGAGAAGGAACCCCAGTCGCCTGTCCAGGAAGAGCGCGAGAAACCAGCTTTCCCCAGAGCCGAGACAGCGCCAGTCCTTCCCACGCACGAGCCGGAGAAGGATAAGGAGGACGACTCCATGCACGCTGGGCTCCAGGCTTTCAGACAAGCTAGACGACGGCTGATGGAGGCTCAGAAGAGCCCGTCAAGTGTCCCCATCAACCCTGGTCAAATGCCTGGGTCCGCGTCGGTTCCGATGGTCGGTCCACCTGCGTCTAGGACCGCACCTAATCGCGAGCGCACTCCCGGTCCGCGATCGCCATCTCGTGAGCGTCGGCCACCTCCTGTCACCTACCAGCAGCGGGCACCCAGTGAGGAGCCACAACCTAACAACGGCTCTGGCCGAGCGCCATCCCGCCCTCCATCTCGGACTGAACGGACTGAGCGTGACCGCAGCGGCTCTGAAGCTAGCAGCGGAGACAGGCCTCATCGTCCAGCACGCTTGCGTACCGGCACCATCTCATCGCCTCACGAGGAGCAGCGCGGCATGGTGCCTCCTCCAGTTAGACCTCAAATGCTGAACTCGCCGGGCCTTCCTGGCACTAACATTCGTCGGTCTCCGATTATGCCTCCTCAGCCGTACCCAGGCGGAGCGGGTCAAGGAAAGTCTCTCGATCGGTCTGCATCCCAGGGCAACCTGGCGGTTCAGTACCGCCGACGGGGACCTGATTCCGGTCAGCCTTCGCCCATTTCCCCCATGGCTCCCATCCCGTCGCCGTCCATCCCCGTCAGCCAGTCTTCACCCGCTTTCGTCCCCTCCCGCCGACCTTCCGCACCTCCTGTGCCGTCGCCCAATGTCGAGGCTGCACCTATCAACCGCCTCGATGAGTCGATGAAGAGAGTCGTCAGGAAAAAGGATATTTCTGAGCCGACGTTTGTCTCTTCAACCTCTCGCGTGCCAACTGTGGCTCTCCCTGAGACCTCGGAGTCCCGTTCCAGAAGTGGTTCTCGCTCGCGATCTGGCAGTATCCTCGGTGCTGCCGCTTCGACGCCAAACCTTCACGGCAGCGTGCACGCCAATATCAACGCTCCGCCTCTGCCTCCGATCAACCCGAAGCGTCGCAACATGATCGGTTCGATGATGGGCCGCCGAGGAGATGAAGACATGGGCGCAAGCTCTCCTCACCTGCCCTTCTCCCCTCCGCCGATTCCCAGTGAGCACGGCGGTGACAGTCACAGTGCGTTCTCCGTGAGCGACGAGGAGGACGGTCCCGGTTCCCAGCGGCGCCGCCTCCGAAAGACCATCAGCGAAGCCAATGGCATGAACATGCGTGCCCGGCTGACCCGGGGCAACAGCCCTCCTAACATGCCTGCGCCTATGGCCATGACAGGTGGCTTGAACAACGGAAACATGCCCGGCGGCATGATTTAAACACTCCCAACACAACCGCCACGAATCTCTTCTTCATCTCTAATCATCTCTCAGTATCATTAAAACGGATGGCGGGGTCAAAAACAGAGAGAAAATGGTCGTCACGAATCTATGAGAACGTTTTTGTATTTTTTGCCATTGACTTTGCTTTATTTCAATTACCCCCAAATGTCGATCTCTACGACCACTGGGTTCCTATTGTATATTTCTTATTTCTCTTCATTCTTTCCTCTCTGGCGGAGTCACTTCGATACTCTGCCTTTTCCACGTTAGGCTCCCGGAGGGAGCATTAATAGGGCGGGGTCCTCGTCTTTGGGATGAGTTTGTGTGCGTTTTGGTGGCGGGCCTGGCGTCTACCATCTGGAGGACTTCAAGATCAGGTGTGAGGGCTAGTCCACAGTCATTTCGAGCCCGAAGAACACCGGAACATTGCAAGGCTATGGCTAGGGTGGGGTGGTAGTGCAAAGGTCGGAGTCTGATATACCATAGTAAGAGAATTGGGAGCAATCAAATTCATCAACATGAACATTTGGCAGCAACTCTGAGTGATTCGTAATGTAGAGATTGGTCGAGCCTGAAAGTCAAATGTAGAAGGATAGTGTGATGTTCGGCGAATATGCCCGGCCTATCCTCCGATAGGTGGCCGGCGTTCGGGGTCCGCTCCGGGCAATACGCCGGCCGCGCCAAGACGTGCCGATCATCGTCAGACGGGTGTCAAGATAAACCCTCGTCCGCACTGCGTTGGGTATCATCGAACGGCATGTGGCCGGCTCAAATTTCGATTACATCTCGTCGGTCGAAAAGTAAACCACGAGGATGCTCGTCGCCATCCGTATGCTATTCGCGCTATCCGTCTTGCTTTCACCAGCATGGGCGATTTGGAACCCCATCATCTCGGGCTTCAACCCTGATCCCGCGATTCTTCGGGTGGGGGATGACTATTACATCGCCACATCGTCGTTTGAGTACTGGCCTGGGATGCCGATATATCACAGTAAGATCGACGATACCATCGGGCCCGAGAAGTGATGTGCCATGTTGATAACGGTATGAAATAGGCAAGGATCTGTCGAATTGGACGCTTATTTCGCACGCCTTGACGAGGCCGGAGCAGCTGCAACTCTATGGCGTCCCAACCGGAGCTGGTACCATTGCCCAGCCGTCTCCCCCGCGAGCTCGCGTAGTGTGCGCATCGCCATCTGAATCATCTCACTAATATCTCATCGCAGGCGCCTGGGCACCCAGCCTAGCACATTTCCACAACAAATTCTGGCTCTCCGGCATGACGCGCTGGACCTACGACCCCGTAGCCCGCGTCTGGCCGCGGGTGTGGTTCATCTCCTCCCTGGACCTCGTAACCTGGTCCGATCCCGTGTGGGCGGAGCCGTGGGGCATCGATCCAGAGCTCTTCCACGACATGTCGACGAGGAGGACGTATTTGAATCTGATGGCGCCGAATAATAATCAAGATAGGCTTTGGGGCATTGCGCAGTGCGAGGTTGAGCTTTTGAGCGGGAAGTGTGTGGGGGAGGAGGGGTATAAGAGTGTTTGGAATGGGACGTTGGAGAGGAATGGGACGGCTAGGCCTGAGGGGCCGAAGATGTTTTTGAGGGGTGGGTGGTATTATTTGGTTATTGCTGAGGGTGAGTTCTTTTGAAATCTCTAATGATGCTTTGTGCGTGATCGTGTGTGTGGGAGTGGGACTGACGTGAAGAGTAGGTGGCACTGATGAATTGCATCGCGCCTCGATTGCTAGGAGTAAGTCGCCGTCCGGACCGTTTGAGGCCTGTCCGCATAATCCTCTCATGTATAACGGACAATGGGGGGCCAAGAACTTGACTGTGCAGTCGACGGGGCATGCGACGTTTGTGGAGGCTGCTGATGGGGAGTGGTATGCTTCGTTCATCGCGCGGCGGAATGTGAATGGTAGCTCACCACTCGGTACGTGGCAACAACAGATGCCTTCTGATGGGCCAGTAGACGGGAGTGCTGACTTGACGGGCACAGGCCGTGAGACGTTTCTTGCGCAAGTGACGTGGGAAAACGACTGGCCCATGATCAACAACGGGAAACCTATTATCCTCAGCGAGGAGGTCGGGCCCATGACAGGACCTAAGAAGACACCAGCCCCTTGGGTGGACGGCTTTCCTGGAAAGGAGCTAGATCCCTCGTGGTATCAGCTCCGAACGCCGTACGTCAAGTCGTACGACGTCTATGACGGGCGTCTAGTCTTCAAGCCCAACGTCTTTGGCTTGAGTGACCGGGATCACCCCGCGGCGGTGCTGCGGAAGCAGACGTCGTTGAACATGACATTTTCTGCGGAGCTGCTTGGCTTTGAGGGAGTGCTGGGACAGAAGATGAGGGTTGGATTGTCGAGTTATTTGAGCGAGTTTCAGCATCAGGATATTGGTGTCAAGGGGTGCAATGGTGGGATTGGGGGCATGTGTCTGTACACGGAGGTGAGGAGGAATGGCACTGTAGATGTGAGTATTTTCTACCTCTTGGGGATTCTCCTTGCTGGCCGTGGATTTTTGAGGAATTAGATGATGAGAGTATGCTGACTTGAAGTAAACGATAGTACTGGCAACAGCCCCTCAACTCATCGTCTCTGCTCAAGAGCGAGCTGAAGCTTCATATCCGGGCTGAACCATTGGTATATCGCCTGGGATATGGCATTGGCGATGATGAACCGACGTATATCACCGAGATTGAGTCGCGTTGGCAGGCTTTCGCGCCGACGGGGTTTTATGTGTTCACTGGGGCATCTTTCGCGTTGTTTGCGACTGGGGAAGGTGAGCCGTGGCCCGTTGATGGGCCGAAAGTTGGGTTCACGCGAGTTGAGGAGACCTACTATGGGGAAGACATCGGAGATTACGATCGTTGGTGAGATTGTCAGGTTTATTCACAGAGATGAGATACGGGCTCGATTTATGTTGGCAGGAATTTGTCATTATTCTCTACGACTTATCCAGACATTGAGTGACTTTGGCTTTGGCAAATTGTAAGTGCGCACATCCCATTCTTCGTCCGGGGCAGCGAGTTCCAGCCGGAACCGTCTTAGTAGCGCAGCCATGACCTTGCATATTTCCATAACGGCGATATGGCGTCCTAGGCATATGCGCGCGCCATGAGAGAACTTCATCATAGTCAGTATCGGTTTAAAGAAGCAATAACATTGCCGAGGGCGACTTACATGCAAACAGCCATTCTCCATGTCAAAGGCTCTCTCAGGTGAACACTCGAGCCAACGCTCCGGCCGAAACGCATCCGAGTCTTGCCCAAAGAGTTTCTTGTCCCTCGCTACGACGAACGGCGAGATGCTCACTCTAGTACCACCCGGGAAGAAGCGGCCGCAGATGTAAGCTCCGTTTCGCGGCACATGGCGCGGGAGGGTGGTGGTGACGGGTGGGTGAATGCGAAGGGCCTCCTTGATACATGCCGCGAGGTACGGCATGGCCTGGTGATTCGTCTCGCTATACTTTGGCGGGTCCGATAGATTCCCTTTGGCCGCGGCCTGGTCGATCTCAGCCTGTAGCTTTTCGTAGGTCGTCGGGTTCTTGAGGAGGTGGTAGATGAAGGAGTCCATAGCGATGCCGGTGGTGTCTGAGCCCCCGGATATGTTGACCACGGCATGCTGAAAGATTTCGCCGTGCGGAAATTCCTGAGGTCCAATCTTCTTCTGGGACTGGATAATCTTGTCCATGATGTCGGAGTGCACTGCATCCGGGTCCGTGTCACGCCTGTCCATCTCCTGTTTGGTGACGTCCGATATGACCAGCGCCGGAGGGCTCATGAAGTAGGCCACCAGCGGGTTCCCGAAGAGGAACTTGTGCAGCTCTGGCATCATGGCCACCGTGGATGCGTACTGGATGAAGCTATCGAGCACCTTCGTCATGTTGCCCACGTCGGACTTGGTGTCGAGGAAACCGAGACGGCGCGAGAAGCTCAGCTCGCCGACCACATCAAAAGCGTACCATTGAAACCACTCCACCATGTTGATAGGGTCCTTGCGCTGTGAACGTGGTACAGAAGAAGATATGGCGAGCTCATCCATGCACTGGATGAAGAGCGTCACGGTCGAGTCAACAAAGTCTTCCAACGCCATGAGAGCAGACATGGAGAATGCTGGTGCGACATTGCGCTTCATGCGCTTGTGTTCAACTGGATCGATAACGGAGAAAAGGTTGGCGTCGTCTGGTGTTGGGAAACCAAACATGTAGTACCAGTCTGTCTTTTTCGTGTTAGCGGGTTTTCAACTGGACAATGTCTTTGAAGGATGCGAGCTTACCTTGACGAATCTTTGTTCATTATCAAAGATGATGGGGATCGCTTCCGGGTCTGCGATTGAGACTTCGTTATAGGCGATGCGGACGATGGGGCCTAGATCATTTAGCTTCAACAATGAAAAGCACATTCAACTTTGATCTATAGACTGACCGAGCTTCCTATGCGCTTCTAACAAGTTCCTCTCAGCACGAGTTGACAGCACTTGGAGGACCTTGTTCCAGCGGCTCACCGTTGCTAAGAAGTTGACTGCAGGGATATCTCTGAGACTGGGAGCATAACGGCGATAGAGAGCGCGAAGTACAAAGAGGGCCAGGCAGGCTGCGAACCAGTGGCTCGAAAGCAGCTGGAGCAGGCTCGAAAATGACATTGCGCTGATTTCGGGTTCGTGAAGCACTGCCATATTGTCGTTAGTTGTCGGCTATGGATGAATTGAGACATCATGATATAGAGACTTCATGATTCGCTTGGTGCTTAGAGTATCGGTAGCGGACTACTCCATAGTCCTTTAGAGTTGTGTAGATCCACAGCCACGCGTGCTAGGGGGAGATAGGATAGATCCTTGGAGGGCACTTTTGGTGCTGTAGTACTGATGACCCTGCATATCCCTCGTAGAACCGTTGCATTGTAGACATATCTCAAAAGCCTATCTTTGGACCGATGTAACTCCCCGACTCGGACTCGCTTCGCAATCGCCTTAGGGACCATGTCTATCGTTAGACATCGATCTTGGCAGCCTCTCCACCATATCTAGAAGTTACAACGGAGTAAAACAGGTTCCCCGCCGTCATGGTCAAGGCGGCGGAAACGAACTGTTCCTCCTTGGAGGACAAGACTCTTCCTTTGGCAAGCCTCTCCAGCTCCTCCCCCATCTGAGCCTCCACTTCCAGCTGCACGCTGTAAGTAACGGCCTTGGCGGCAGAATAGGTAGCCAATCCCAGCAGACGACGCACGACGTCGACCGCGTTGATCATGTAGCAGACCTTGCCATCCTCAAGGGCCTTCAGCTCCTTGTCGAAAGAGGCCAGGTCATTGACTAGGGACACGTGGTCGCTAACCAGACGGAGGATCCTAGTCATCTTGGGGTCCTCGATCGCAACATCGGACTCTAGCGAGAACTTCACACATGCCAAGATATACCTTGCAAACATTCGATTATTAGATGCGGGTCGGGCCTTTTGTAACGGGGAGAAGCGCGCGCGCGCGGGAGATGAATGAAGATCGAACTTACGGGACACCCGCATCAATGTTGCGATAGGACAAATAGTCTGCCAGGCTGGCGAAGTTTGACTGGGGCGGGACGTGTCGACAAAAGTCCGCGAGTCGGTCAATCACCTCCTGGCCTCCGTTGCCCGCGATCTTGTCGTGACTCTTGAGCCCATCTACAACGTAACCGATGAGCGACTGCAGCTCCGACTTGGACTTTTCTTTCTCTCCGTTGGCCTCCAGGCGACGGAGAAAGTCATCACGAACAACACCGAGCTAGAATCCTGGGTTAGTGCTAACTCAATGGTAAGGATCAGGTTTGCAGGGATGTACTTCGTACCTTGTCCTCGCTATGCATCTCCCACGAGTCTGCGTTTTTTTTCAGTAATTTCGAAAGACAAAGAGGTGTGCGATCTTTCTTACCGTCAAAAATGACAATGAATACAATGGTGGCTGCGAGAAGGCGGGTTCTCTCCTTGTCTGCTTCAGGGAACAGGTACGTGGCAAACTTGGTAAACCGGTCCTCTTCCGGTAGCAAAAGTTCGTGAGAAGCAATCTTAGCAAGAGACCTGCCGTTGAGCTTGACAGCGGTGAACATGCTGGAGTCAGTGCTGAACAACTCCAGCAGCTCTGAAGAGATTCTCAGACCAGCCTCCCAGTGGCGACTCTGGCGTGCCTTGGGGAATCCCGTTGGCCAAGGCAGACCGGCTCGAACGGGGAAGATGTCGAACCCGTTAACATCGGTAGGCTCGTCTTCTCCATCAGTTGACGGGGTACGGCATTGCTGGAGCCGTTCGTAGCCGGCCAACGGGAGTAGACAGGTCTTCAGATCCAAATAAGGAGCATCGTGGAGCCAGTTGTAGGCGTAGGCAATTTGCGAGACATCTTTCAGATTCTCTGGGGCGCAAATGCTCCCTGTAAAAGCATGAGAATGGGATGATATGGTGCTATATGTTGCCGGGAGGCGATCTTACCGTTGACGGAGGATACGCTCAGCTTTGATGAAGGCATTTGGTGACTTGGTAATTTCGTTTTCTTAATCTGATGTGTAGTGTTACATGAAAAGACTTCACCGTCAGTCGTTGAATTTTGACCCTCTTATACCCTGAAGTTCATGTGCTATCAAACCCCCCCACGATCATGGGCAACTGGATCATGACTTAGACGTGAGGTCGTCCAAGGCATGGCTAAACCACGGGAGAGCGTACCGAAGAGTCTTGCAGGGGCCGCAGATCCATGCAGAAGCCATATTAGAATGGAATGGATCTTGCAGAATAGCAACATTTAAGTTTCTTGGACGTAGCCCGAAACGTAGGGGTGGCTGATAAGCAGGCTTGGATTACTGCTGCCGGGTACTTTTGTTTACATGGCTTCCAAGGTAGTATCGTAGAGGAACCCGCAGTTCATTTACAAGGAGACGTCCTTGTAGGAACAGTTCCGACCCTGGCTTTCTTCCTAACACCAGAGAGTTGTCATATATAGTTGGATTCTTAGACTTTGGTCCGCCTATCCGCTACCGCAGTGCATTATCTTGGTTCTTGAGCTTTTTGTTAGAACTATCTGATTGAATCTCATCTTACCTCATCTCACAATGGCTTGGAGTCATACCGATCTGGCGCTTGACGCCCTGAAGTCTGGCATCATCTTTGCTACCAGCCTTTGGGTCTTGTTCTGGTTCGCAGAGTGTATTCGAAATGTCTTTTTCCACCCACTCTCCAAGTTTCCGGGACCAAGATTAGCGGCGGCCACCAGCTGGTGGTCGACATATCAGCAGACTATTGTCAACAGATCAATGCATCACATTTGCATGGACCTCCACGCTAAATATGGTACTGAGCTACCCTCGACTTCACATTTTTCAATTTTTCTGACCTCTGAGTGCAGGTGATATCGTCAGAATTGGACCAAACCGGGTAAGACGCTTGAAGCTCGACGAGCCTTTAAGTCCATGGTCACTAATGATGATATAGCTTCACTTCAACCATCCCGACGCATACTCTGGGATCTACCGCACCAAGTTCGACAAAGATCCGTTCATGTACGCTCTGTTGGGTGGCGACGGCGCGACCGTCACTTTTGTTAAACACCAAGACAACAAGAATCGCAAGGACATTCTCCATCCCTTTTTCTCCAAGAGCTCTGTATACAACCGAGAGCAACTTATACAAGAAAATGTAAGAGCCTTTTCTCGTAATACATTGAAAAGTTTCACCAGAAGTCTTATTCACCTGCGTCTAGATCGACAAGTTCTGCTCAAACTTGGTCAAGCATTACGAAAAGGGCGTCTCTGTCAATATGAGTCTCGCTTTTCGGTGTATTGGCCTGGAGACAATCACGTCCATCTGCTTTGGCAAATCGGCAGCTTGCTTCGAGCATGAAGACTTCCATAGCCCGATC